AACACCACAAAACGTTCATTCAGGTAAAAGGTCATCATGCAATGATTCTCAGAATATAAATTGAAATTTGGCAAAGTAAACTAGTAAGGTATTATTTCGGAAAGAACTTCGAAGGATCTTTTCACAAAGCAAACATCAATCTTTCTCAAAATGCAAAATACGATAAATAATATTTCGCCAAAAAATAGTAAGTAGTTTTTCTTAAAGTGACAAACACCATTTTGCAAACTACGAATTTAAATTCTGTTAACTATCCTGAGGTAAGCACTGAAACACAATCACACCACTGAAAAAAATGTTAATAATTAGTATTCTTCATCAAAACTTACGTTAAACATAAATTTTGTCCTGCGCTTCTTTATTGAAACTACCAGATGTTATCGACTGATTTACTGTCCGAGTGATTCAGAATAACATAAATTCGACAAGGAAATTAATTTCCATTGCAAAAGATAAAATTTTGCGCTTTTAACTGCAATACTGTGCATGTTAGTCAAGGAATTTTAAAGTATCTTAACCTCCACGAAGTTCAGATATTATACGAAAAGAACTTTAAGACCTTTAAATGACACTTGCTTTTCAGGGTCCTGTTGATTCATCGATATGCACCTCAACTCCTTTTATTCTCCTTAAAATTTAGTTATTAATTTCTATTTAGCGAAACCTTTCTTTCATACTACTAGATTTGCAATTAAAATTTACGTCGTTTGAAACTAAAACAAAAAGACACTGAATTGTTGCTAAACAATAAATCGCAGGGATGTTTTAAGTTTATTTCTCTCCTTCAATGAAACTGACAACACCCTAAATTACTTTCCAAGAAAGTTCAGTTCAACAATAATAACAGTACTATTAGCAATTCCGGCATTATCGATATCACACCACAGTAATGTTTTTCTTTAATAAAGTTCTTACTCCTCGTTAAAGTTCGTGCACTTCATTCTAAGCAGCTCCTTGCATGCCTTTCGAAACATCTTATTTCTATAGCAGTATATGATCGGATTGCACAGAGAATTCAGCGATGACAACCAGATGAAAACCGGATGAGACAAAATTATTACATTCCCAGTATAACTACTACTCTTAGAAAAGGCGAACCAAAGAAAAACATACATAAACAGGGGAAAAAGACATACAAGCAAAGCCATTATAATTATCCTGGTAGTTTTCAGAGCTTTTTTCTCCTTTGCGAAGTCTGCAGCAGCTTGTGGTGAAACTTGTTCACTCTTAATTTGTTTCTCGTGACGACGGGTTACAAAGTAAACCGATAAGTGACAGAAAAGTATTAGCAAAATGTTGAGAAATAAAACCATTACAGCTACGACCGAGGAAATAAATTCCAACTTTTCAGAAAGACTTCGCAGAATAACTGGGCAAAATGCGAACACCCAGGAACTAACAACGGCTATTTTTAAGCGAAGCCCTGTAACAATTGTTATATAACGAAAAGTATACTTCATAGCCACAAATCGTTCAATACTAATTAGTGTCAGATGTAACACGGATGCAAAAATAGGACATAAGACCAGAAGATTGGTCAGCTTGTGGTATCTGCAGTATTCCGACAGAGATATTCCTTTTATGACATAAATCTGCCCCACGATGTAACTTGGCTGTGAAGCGGCTCCTACTAACAGGTCTGTTCCAGCCAAACAGGCCAGCAAAATGTTATAGTTACTTTGCAATCTGGGTCTTGTCTTCACCGCCATTATCACCAGCACATTCATTACGATCGTCACAGGAAAGCTTAGGATGTTCA